CTACGATGAGACCACGGAGGAGAGAAAAGGAAAGATGGAGGTTAACTGAAGAAAGCATCGACAAGAAGGTTGAGATTGCGGTTGAGAAGAATTCAGCTAAGATAGTCACAACAGCGGTAGCTGCTGTAAAACGGGAGCTGACAGTCTTGGTTCCAACTATTGTCGGTTGGAGCAGGCGAAATCCAGAAAAAGATGCAGCGGACTTTCCCCTTGCCGACTTCTTTGGGAGCAGCTCGACTAGCATTGCACTAGCACCTGCACCAGCACCTACTCCTACACCGGCTCCCGCATCTGCTTCATCTTTGGCTGAGCTCGACGCCCTCACGGTACCTGTCACACAAGCCCTCTTCAATAAATGTATAATCTCCCGTTTCCGTTGTCGGATGTCTCACATCGCATACATGTATTTGTAGGCCGACGCCCTGTGCACCATATTGTACGACATCAACGGCCAGAAGGCGGACATGGGGAAGGCGACGATAATGAAGCCGAAGGAACAATTGTTCCACAGCCGATCGATCGCCCCTAACGTCTTCAAGGTTTTCCATGGCCAGTGTCAAACCCGGCCACGAGAATTTGGTTCCTCCGGTACTAGGGGGAGATGACGACGAGACCCCACGGCAGCTTGGCAATTGCAAGACATGGGTCCTGTTGTGGCCAAAGAGTCTGCTTCGTCTGGAGGCGGCCGGGAGCACACCCACGACCACACAGACTCCACAAGGTATGAACATCAGCACCCCACCTACCCAATTAGCGTCGCCTGTCGTGCTGGGTGATAGCGGACTGGGTGAGGAAGAGGCTCCATTAGTCGCTGATGACATCGCCATAGATGAGGATGAGGATGACGATGACACTCAACAGTATCTCAATACTGGCGCCATTGATGACGGAGGATCGATGGCTCAGCAGTATGAGTACTCAGGGTTTGAGCGTCATGAGTCGATGCCTGAATTGCCGCCTCCGGAGCCTGAACATAATGTAGATGACCTTCCACCAAAGAAGCATCGGAAGAGAGTGAGGAAAGGCAGCAATAAAGCTGCTGCTATGATCCAGCCGCCTCCGCAGCCTCGGGTTCAAGACCGTATACCTGTCCGCGGTGCGGCAAAATACCATATCGCCGATGAACCAATCCTACCTAAGGCATCGGTACAGGCCATACACGGTGATCTAAGGAGACTTCATGACGATGTGCTGCGGAGAGAGAAAAGCCTAATCGCCTCGGAAAATCCTGGATACCCACTCTACGTGGTTAACGTGCCGCGGCAAAGGTTGTACGTCGACACAATCCCCGCGGAGAAGTTCTTCCTTCGATTTGATTACATCTTCGACATGTTTCACTTGAAGAAGCTTGATTTTACGTTTGTCCGCCTTTATGCCTTGTACATGAACTACATTATCGGGATTGAGCAGATACCTTATATCTGTGTCACTGACCTGTACTTCATGCACGAGAGCTTCTTGGCAGTCTGCGCAGAGCACCGTGAATACGCGAGGAACTACCTCGTCAATTTCATTGTCGCTAATAAGGACAAGGAGACGATTCTCGTGCCTTATCATCCCCTGTAAGTCATCCGCGCGGATATCCTTCCTTTGATTTCAATCATTCATTTGCACGATGGAGGCTAATTAATTTGAGGTGTACTTATTTTGCGCAGCCATGGGCGCGCCGTCCTCATTATCCTTTACCCCCGATACTCCCACGCTCTTTACTTGGACTCGTCGAAGAACATGAACAAAAAGGATTAGACCCACATCAAGCCTGTTCTCGACAGTGCTATCTTTTTCTACGGCATATGGGGTGGAGAGATCAAGATCAAGAAGACTAGGAACGACAGGGCCGCCTTCAGCTATAAGACCGACTTCTGTTGCATCCAGCAACAGAGTGATAGTCTTAATGATGGATTCTATGTCATACACCAGATGATGGAGTACAGACGGGATCGACAGAACCTTCGCATGTCACCTACAACCGAGGATGCCCATATTCTGCAACGAGCAAGGAACGTAGGAGATATCAATGATCATCGGCTTCGAGCTGAGTTCTATCGCATCCATCATGAACTTGCCCAAATCATTATGAAGGAGGTCCTCGAAAAAACAGGGTTGTTCTACGAGAAAGGGGAAATGTCACGGCAAGACGTCTGAACACGTGTAGCGGCTCAGCGTCTCGACATGAAGCCTTTCACTAAGCTCAGGGACTATCTCCCTGACTTGGATGGATGGCACGACATGCTTGAGTGATTGTCGATATATGACAATGTGTCCGTTTAGTCCATACTTACTGTATGACGAAACTTTGAGTTATGCATGACGAAACTTTATTTGTGATGTAATTAAACCGTCCTCCTCAACTAGCGAAGATCACTCTAGTTAGGGCATTTTGGGTACGATGAACTTTGTTATTTATGCTTAATGATATGTTGCTTTTATTTTTGCCAAGTCTGTCTCTTTACGTTGCTCAACTATATATGTTGCATATCATCAACTCATGTGACGATGTAGGTGCATAGATCATCGATGTCGAAGAAGTGTTACGCCAGGAGTATACGACGAGTGGCTAGAGTGTCAGGCCCAGGTGCACCGGTTTTCGGTTTCCGAGCGACAACCAGTAGTTAGTTTAGGTTCACACTAGTGAGAGAGAGGGGTACGAACTCATGTACTGCATAGTTCCGCTCTCACTCATAGTGATAGCTCTTCTCGCGTATATCATTGTTTAGATGGATGACGATGTAGTTGCAAGTAATTGAGACTTGGATCGCTATTTTCGAGATGATGACGAGAGACCACTTTGTGTTGGATGATGATTATGATGATGACATGATTTGATGCTATGATTACATTTGTATGTGTATCATATGCTAAAGATTATTGTATAAAGCCTATTCAAATACAAAACAAATATGCAAAAAAACAACAAAAAACTAATAGTAGCGAGGGGAGAAAAGTTAGCAACAACACACTCTTACCAGTTGCGCGACTTAGATAAAAGCGTTGCAGATATTAGCAGTAGCGCTCTGCTCAAAAGCGCTGCTGATAGACATGTATAGCAGTAGCGCGGGCCAGCAGGCGCTACTGATAAATGTTAGCTGTAGCGCCCTATCAGTAGCACAGGTGCCCGCGCTACTGATAGACCTAATATGCGCGCTACTGCTAGGCTTTTCCCTAGTAGTGGGCGGCAAGTATGGTCTGCGACACCTCAGCGAACAGATCACCTTTTGCAGTTATGGTACGTGAGACTCAAAATCTCCTTAGTGATCGGCAACATGTAATCTCAGTCATCAAACGTGAGCAAAATAGAGCTAGTCATACTCTTGCCCAATTGGGTCGGTCACTTCCAAAAACTGTTGTTTGGTTAAGGTGTGCACCCGTGGAGGTTCACGCCATTTGTCAACAAGAATGTAATGACTCTGGTTAAGTAATGAAGATGCTTTATTCGCAAAAAAACCCTATGTGTGTATATTCAATGACGGAGTTATGTGTAAGCCCGGGGGGGCGTGGCCCCCCAACTCAATGGGGATTTTTTGTTTACCAGGTAGTAGTGGCCCCTCCAATTTTGGGAAAGGCCCGTCTGCTTGTTTGCTTCGCCTATGTTTCTGAACTTTCTATTCCCTAATCACGCTTGGGCTTGGCTGCTCCCTGGTTCATCCATGCATGTTGTGCTAAGTAGTAGTTGCCACCAGTTGCCCATTCACTTTGATTATATTCATAGTTGTTATGCAGTATCACTTCTTTTGTACTGCTCCATCTGTTTTTAAATATTTATCTTTTTAGAGATTTCAAATGGACTACCACATACGGATGTATATAGACATATTTTAGAGTGTAGATTCACTCATTTTGCTCGTATGTAGTCACTTGTTGAAACACTAGAGAGACAAATATTTAGAAACAGAGGGAGTAGTTGTTAGTTGGCTCACAGAATGACTTTGAAGTTTGAAGGTTGAGTGGTATATCCAAGTCGACAAGTCGTATATTTTGGTGTAGTTAGTTCTATGAAGTATATGTTGCTAATCATACATGTATTATGCAACCAATATGAGTAATATAATTATACATTTGTCTAGAGGCTACAAGTTCTGTTTTCTTGCGGTTGGTTAAATTATTATTATTTTGTCTTTGCCCCCCTCCCCCCTCACCAAAATAGATTCTTGTCAAGCTCTATATATTCAAGTCTAACCTAATGCAAGCTTATCTTTATAGGTACGAATGATTTATTCCAAAGTTGTATATATGTGTGTGTATGTGGGTATATACTTTTGTTCTATGTTCAAAAATAAAAATAAATTGTAAGTTGTATACGGTCCATGTTGAAGCATATGCTAGTAATTTAGGTATTCATGCTTCAAATTAAGCCCATGAGCTAATTCTTTTTGGAAAAGGAGGCTTGCCCCCAAAGCCCATGAGCTATATATATATATGACAAAAGAAAAAGATGTATTTTAACTTTAGATTTGATGAATATACGTGCCTTGTCAATAATATGTACTCCCTCCGTCCCAAAATAGGTGACGTGGTTATTCTTCGAGAAAATGATGTCTCCATCGACGGCTAGATGATTAATCGATCGATTTCGTCAAATGTCAAGCTCCACGGCTGCAATTCGTCGCGTATACATTGTACACGATGTACCAACCGATCGATCTACTCTCCTTATAAAAACATGTACGCAGACGTCTTCTGTGCCTAACAAGGTTAAGACCACGACATTCCCCAAACCCAAAAAGTCAGAAGCAGGCAGGCACGGTGCGGCGCACGCACTCGTCAACCCAGGCCCAACCCAACCCAAACCCAAACCCAACACCCAATACCCGCCGTCCGGCCCATCCCGACCCCGAAGTCCCCAACGTGTCACTAGCCGCGAAAAGAAAAACAAGCGGACTGGAACTGGAAGCCGCGAGCCCGCCACTGAGCCCCCCGCGCGGCGCCCCATTCCCATTCCTTCCCGCCCCGTCGCGCGCCGCCTCGCCTCGCCTTGCCGCTCCCGGTCCGTCCCCTCCTCCATGGCCCCGTCCCGGCCGCCGACGGCGCTGGCGGGGGCCATGCTGACCGGCAGGGAGAGCCTGGTCCGCCTCATAGGCCGCCGCCGCCGCTCCCCTCTCCCCGCCCCCCTCGCCGCAGCCCTCCTCTCCCCCTCCCGCCAACAGGTCAGTCAAATCCCCAAAGCCATATACCAGCCGGTTCTCACCCATGCCGTCTCTCCGCCGCTTAACGTCTCTCTGTTTCTTTCTCCAGGCCGACGACGCGGGCGCGGGCGAGGCGGCCAGTGAAGCGGCCGCTGCGGGCCCTTCTTCGTCGGGAGGGGGCGCCGGCGCGGAGCGGGTGGCCTGCCCCGTCTGCGGCGAGTTCATCCCCGGCTCGGACTACTGCGTCAACACCCACCTCGGTCCGTACGCGAGCCTCCACACTTCTCCACTTCTCCTGAAATCAGCGGAACACTCGCTTCTTTTGTAAGCTTGCTTAGCCGTGGTACTATTCCTAAATGCCGCTTGCGTTGACCTTGACTAATCGCTGCTGGACAATCACAACCCAAGTAAAGGCCTAGCTCGACCCGGTTAGGTACTTTCTGATTACAAGTTCATGTTGATGTGCTGGTTGATTCAGTAGGATAATCAGGTTCTATTCGATTTTGCTCTGGGTGTAAGGGGATGCATAGGAAGCTTTGCCATGCTTACCAGTGCTATAATGTTCTGAAGACTTCTGTTTTTCACATGAACTGTGCAGATATATGCCTCACGAGAGGACCGAAAAGGAAGTTCGCACAGAGCAGCCTTCTTGATTTCAGATTCAGTAAGAAAACAACAGTTGAGCATACTCCAGACATTGTGAACAATGTTGACAAGGCAGAAAACAAGGGACTGACGGATGGAGATGTATCCACTGACAGAGAATTTTGCTCCATGAATAGTGACACTGGAAGTCCCGAGAATAGCACAACCGCTTTATTAACTGGTTGCCTGGATGGTTCAGCTGGCATTTCCAAGATGCTTACTACATGTACACCTTCAAATGCTGGCTTGCCACTTATGAAGAACGCTGAAAATGACGATGCAGTCGAGAAGGCCTCTTCCTGCTCGCTTTCAACAGGAACAACTTCTGTCAGTATCGATGCATGTCCAGACGCGGATTCTAGCACCACGGTAGCTGTTGACACTGTCATAGTGGGCCGGAGGTTCCGTGAAAGCTTTGAACTGCAAGAAGGCATGGGCATTACTGTTGTAAGAGACCCCCAGAATGCCAAGGACCCTGATGCTGTCAAGGTTTACATCCTTTATGAATAAATTATATTTTCTATTGACATCCCATTCATGTAGATTTTTTTCTTAATACCATGGATAGGTGCTTTATGCAGGGTCTGACTGTGCGCAGATGCTTGGATATCTGCCTCGAGAGCTGGCTAAAGTCTTGGCTCCTCTATTGGACACACATTTTATTGAATGCGAGGTGATTCCTTATTATATTGCAGAAGAATTGTAATATGGCATACAGTTGTTAGGTCCTCCAGAGTTATATAGGCTGCTCTCTTGTTGAACAAACATATGCCATCAACTTTACGCTGAATGATTAGTGATGAATAAACTAGCCTTGAACACCTGTGGTAAGTTCTCTTAGAAATCTCATTCCATGCCATCTTAGTGAATGCCCGCTGATGCTAAAAAGACGCAGTAAATTAACTTCGCATAGTCAGGCTACAAGTTTTAATTTGGATGCTGCATTTGGATAGAACAACTGTAACATCATATATGATCTCTCTCTGTATTTTTCTGCTCTCACATTTTAGCTAATTTTATGCTTATTGACTATAAACCTTAATATTTTCATACGGCCTGGCGCAGTGGTGAATTACTCCCCACTTGTGCCAAGAGGTCCTGGGTTCAACAGTCAACACCCTCTCTGCATTGCACTGGGCAGGTGTAGGGCTTGCCTCGTATAATATTTTCCCAGACCCCACCTGGTGTGGGAGCTTCTAGCACTGGGTCTGTCCTTTTCATACCGCAGCAGTTGTAAGGAAGGTCTAGCGCATCTCCTGTTCTGCATTAATTTCAGCTGTGAGCTATGTCACCATGTTAATGACTTTAGGTGGTTGTCTTGTGTCTGTAATTTAAGCTGTTTGTCAGTAGTCGGTCTCAACGAGTTTTCTCAGACAGGCAGTTTAGGGTATTTCTCTCAAACTGTAGGCACATTGCCACTGTTTTAATCAGGATTCCAACAAAGTTCATATGTTCATATACAAGCTCCCACCTAAAACTCTTTTGTATGGAAACCTACTCTACCTGTAGAGAAAGTTCAGTTTGAATAAAGGTTTGTAGGATCGGGAGGTACATTGCCTAACTAAATCCCTGGAAAGGACTGAACCGACTTCATATCCATTTATACTCAGGGCAAGCAGCCCTTCAAGTCACTGGAAGCCCATGCTAGCTGTGAAAGTATTTAAGTAGAATAACGCATATACTCTGGTGTAAACAGATCCTTAATCAGAAGTAACACTCTCTTTGAGCCTGAAAGTTTGCTTTGATAGTTTTTATTGAGATTAATTCCCTTAAACCAGCAAGGCTAGGGAAAAAAAATCTGGTGGTGACTTCTGTGTCAGATTTTCTGATGCCATCGATTTTGGTGGCAGTAATTTTTTTTTATTGTGTTTGCTATAGGAAAGCCGTGAGGTTTTTGCTGCAACTTCGAGCATCGCTTTTTGCCAGATTTTTTTTTTGTAACAACTGGATAACCATCCAATTCCTGATTGCTTACTTTCCTATCTTGTTAGGGATTTGTGGCTGGTTTGCCTGAACAACAGCTTGACAATGTGCCCATCCAGCTAACTTGTCAGAAATGTGAAAATGACAATCAGAATTATGAAGATCTGAGGTACCAACAATCCTTGTGGGAAAATTTTCTTGGTGTTGTTAGAAATGGAAATTTCCAGCAACCTAGCAGTGCAAGATACCAGGCAAATTTCAATACGATGCTATTGGATGTTATGACCAACCATACACACCTTTTCAGTGATACGGAAACATCATTTTTAGGTTGTTTATTTTATTTCCTTCCCATTCCATCTTATGATCAAGAAATCTTAATGACAAAGTATATGTTTTAACATCCAATAGGATCTTTTAAGTCGTTATCAAATGATGGCCAAAGGCTTTTTGTGAAGATTTACACTCGAAAAGGTTAGCTCCTGATGTCTATAATGTCCATTGATAGGTAAAATGTTGAATTGGCTCCATTCATGTTCCATATGTGTATAGTGCTAACGACTTAAGTTTAGTGCATGTATTACTTTTAGTAGGTTAAGAAAAAGGGAGCCATTTATTAAGCAAACATAACTTTGCACTTGACTAACTGAATTTTTTGCAGGGCCATGGTTTCGGTTGAGCAGCATTTCGTATCGTGAGATATCAGATGTTGAGCATGCAGCCATGGAGTTGAAGTGTAATAACGTAGCCCTACTCATTTTTTGTTACTGGCATGTTGCCATTCTTTAGGTATTTGAACTGGAAGTTCTTTTTTATAGTGGCAGGTTACATAGACATGTTTTCTTGCACTGATGTTCCATTTGAACATGATATGGAAGAGATTCTCAATGTGCTAAGTGTTCCTGAAATGAAGGAAATCCTAAAGGAGCTCCGTAAGGTTTCAATCTTATCTTTAACTCCTTTCTTATTATGCAAAAGTATGTCGTTTGCCTTTTCCAACCCAATCATTTTCCTATTGTTGTTTAGAATCACCATTTGTTCATGTTGCTACTTAGGGAAGTTATACACTACTTTAGGATTGGTAGTAGCACATCTATATCTATAAAAAAGGATAGAACCAATGCTAGAAGCTCCCACACCAGGTGGGGTCTGGGGAAGGATTATACTCCCTCCGTTCCTAAATATTTGTCTTTCTAGAGATTTCAACAAGTGACTGCATACGGAGCAAAATGAGTGAATCTACACTCTAAAATATGTCTATACATCCGTATGTGGTAGTCCATTTGAAATCTTTAAAAAGACAAATATTTAGGAACGGAGGGAGTATGAGGCAAACCTTACTCCTGCACTATATCTATACCAATATAAAAAGACCCAAACGGCAGATCCAACCAATCTTGGCCATCAAACCATGTCAATCCAGTGACCTACATGGCTCTAATGTTGAGCGCCTGACATGCTTAGCATGCAATTAATATCATAACTATTATAAACATCACTGCTAACCACCTGATTAACACACATTTAATATCCTACCTAATATCAAGTGGGCAATTAATGTCCTACTTAATACCGACGTGCATTGCATTGCACGTACAGGATTACTAGTTTATTTAATACCAGTATGGCAGCATATCAGTGCGAGCTTGGTAGTAGTGCTGTTGATCTACATTGCATCCACACATCCTGATTCACATATACTCACACAATAGCATGTCAGTGATGGCACAACCATGATAATGCATAACCTGCAAAACAACTTAGGCATATGATCTAGCAATAAATAGAATATCAGTCATTTATCCATAATGTTTGCCTACCAATGCTCAGAGAAAATGATGTGGGTATACAACTACACCTTTTCCTTTAAATATGCCCAACAACTTCTGAGTATGATACTTGATAGCACATAATGTACACCAGTGAAAGACAGATATTTAGAAACATGTAATCTTGCTCTAATTGGTAGAGGAATAGCCTGACAATATGTATTAGCATCGGAGTGTTACGTTGTAACTACCATCCATACCTTATTTCAAGTGTTCTATTCAATTTTAGGTTTCCTTCAGAAGTTGTCACAATCACCACAAGTCTCGAGGCATTGTTAACACAGTGTTCCTCTAATATGCAAGAATACAAGCATCACATTTCTATATATTGAAAAAAACCCCGGAAAACTGATTGATATTTTGATCAACTACCAGCTACTGCAAGTTGTTTTTCTCTCTGCGCTAACCTGCAGTTGATTTCTATACTCAAGCTGGTTTTCTCAATGAATATCACATTCCTTTATTTTGCTTCCCAGGATAACACAAACTGCACCCGTCGACATGAGCTTCTTAGCACCCTTCTCTCTATGTACAATAATGGAACCTGGTAAAGGCTCTTTCCTTGTTTCATTCAGTCATTCTTGGACATTATGGCCCTGTAAACAAAATCACCTCCTGATGCAGCACAGTGCTACCAAAGCGAATTTTTAAATGGACAGGAACCTGTATAAGAGTCTCCAACATGGCTGATGAACTTGTCTGGCTTGTTCAGGTGAATATAGATCTTGCTTAAACTGTTTATCCTATTTACAGTATTATTACATCCAACAGTCTGATGATTGAGAGCAACCATGCAGAGGCTATTTTTTCTAAATGGTGATCAAGACCTTTCATCCTTTCTATTAGTGGATCTTGGTCTGGTGAAATTCCCAGAATACACATGCAGCGTTGTTCATCGTATTTTTCAAGAAAGAAATGATTTACTTGAGTATGAAGAGGTGAACTTTTCATTTCTTTCTAAATAACAGAAGCATAACCTGCCGATCTGCATATGTGTTTAACATCTTATGTTTCAAATAGGCAATTCGAGTGGCACAGTTCATGGATGAATCTCTTGATAATGATAACATGGAATTAGTGTCAAGATGCACTGATTTGTCTGAGAATCGACTATGCACTCCGTTAAAAGAAGAAGATAGCAGTTTAGCTGATTCTCCTCCATCATTCTATTCATGCTTTTCATCTACCTGGATCTATTCCAAAATACTCACATTAGGGGTCTCTGTTTACGAACGCGAACGCAGGTAAGTTGTGATAAACTTATGGATCAACTCAACTGATATTTGCATGAATTTATGTGTTTCATTCAATTTTAATTGAACTGGAACTCTTGACTATACTATTTCTTGGTTGTGTGGACATGTCTTCTGGTCTGCTGTATGCATAATTGGGTGCTTTAGCTCTCTTACAGCTGTCAGATATTGAGTTGCACTATTTAAAAGAAAAGATATTTAGTTGCATACACTTACACTAGGCAGGCTGAGTTTCATCTTGTATGCAAATTATAGATTAATGTAAAGTTTTGAACTGAAGCTCAGTTTTTTTCATGAAGAAACCTAATCTTCTCATGAATATATGAATGCATTCACAGGAGGGATCATTTCCTTTTTTTGTTGAAATTTATAATTTTAAAGAGCTTCTGAGTGTGCTGTTTCACTCAGTACCTATCTTATTAGTTTTGGGGGAACTAGATATCACGCTGACTCTATTCTGCAGGTATGCAGATGCAATAAGGACTCTAAAGATACTACTTAGTAAAGTTGCTTCTGGTAGACGGCGAGGATATTGGACACTGAGATTATCTATTGATTTGGAGCATATGGGTCGCCCTAATGAGAGCCTTTCAATAGCTGAAGGAGGAGTGACCGATCCATGGATCCGTGCTGGGTCAAAGATTGCACTGCAGAAGAGAGTTCTGCGTTTAGGCAAACCTCCACGGCGCTGGAAAGTTCCCAGTTATGCTGATTCTCTTAAGAGAAACATAAAAGAGGTAAATATCGCTTTGATGGTCAGTCAGGAGAAAGTTTTTTGTGTGTCTCTGTCAACTGGATTGAGGTGGTAACATGGAAATGCTAAATAATCTATCATTGGGATGCGTCACATATCTTTTGTTACCAGGTGAACATTGAAGGAAGGCCATTGAATTGTGAAATAGGAGCAAAGAATGTATTTTATGGCTATGATGGTGACCGTTGTGGGGTAGAGCAATTAGCTTTGCAGTATTATGCTGATGAAGGAGGTGGCTGGCAAGGTACCCATTCAGAAGGTGGCATATGGATGACAATCTTTGGCCTTCTAATGTGGGATGTAATATTCTCAGAAGTATGCGATGTTTTCCATTCTAAATTTCAGGTACTTGACTTATGGACCATTTTTTTTTTGTTAAGAGTTGCATAACCTGCATTGTGTCGGCATGTTGCAACGACTATGCTTTTGATACTGGTACTGCTTGCACGTTTGAGTTAACAGTGAATGCTGTTTTTGATCATGGTCTTTTTACCTGGCTTCCTTGTAACGATTTTGTACACCTTGATTTGTGTGTTCTCTTGCAGACAGCCCCTCTTGATTTTGAAACAGACGACTTCTACAAGTCAAGAAAGGACCTTATAGAATCACAGTTGAAAAGGATACAAGATGGAATGGCCGAAGAGATGCTCATCAGCTCCTGGGAGCTACATCAAGGGACATCCTGCAGGGGTGTCAATTGGGACCGGCATCCAATGGCCGATGTACGGGCTGTCGTTGCGGGCGTTGGTGGGCATCGCTTGGCACTACTTCTCCGGCATCTAGCCCTCGATTACAGGAGCTGGTCCAGCGGGATGCCCGATCTGCTGCTATGGCGTTTCCTGGATGAACGAGGTGGCGCTGAAGCTAAACTTGTGGAGGTCAAAGGACCAAAGGATCAGCTCTCTGAGCAGCAACGTGCTTGGATTTTCGTCCTGATGGATTTTGGGTTTGATGTGGAAGTTTGCAAAGTGAGCCTAGTTTCTAAGCGGCGATAAGCTTCCTTTATACAAAATGTATTGATGTTTGCATTGATCTATTCTGCAAATGTATTGAAATAACAGACCAAAAGCTGTAACATGTAAAAGCAACAATGTTCTTGATATTTGCATATATTTGCATTGATGTTGTCCGGAGTAAAACCTTCTTACAATTTGTTTATATGGTGTCATTCTAACAAAACTATCGTCAGATCTCGAAAAGCTCAGGACTGAGAAATGCCTGGATTAATTTGATTTGATGATGAAATATGTAGAAAACTAGAAATATAAGTATACTCGTAACAGCACTAGAGTTGATGGTTCAATACTACTCCCTCCATCCCATGCACTAGTGTAGTGTCAAAAACGTTCTTATTATGGGACGGAGGGAGTAGAAATATAAGCATACTCATAACCGCACTAGAGTGAAAGGGTGATATCAGAGATCACGCAAGCTGGTAAACACGACCAGGTACTACAAACTGCCACAAAAAAAAAGTGATACTGATAGCACTCATATTATATTTCAAAAGGAGCCGAAGTTTGACGAACAACAAAAATCATGCTATTACAGAGGGGCAATGACAAAAGTTTCAGTCATTGGCATGATCATAGGTACATCAATATGCAACTTCTCGACTCGCAAAAAGGGACGACCACTGGGCTGCTTGATGCTGATCAGACACTTCAATCCCTTCTGCTTGATGTCCAAAATGTAGGCCACAACCAACAGGTTATAGCTGGACAAGTACGCGCTGTGGTATAAGGGTCGTAATAAGTTAACCATGCATCCTCTGGGACAGTTGCTGCGCCTGATCTAACCTTTATACGAATATGCTGTTAAATGCCTCCTCCAGTGCTCTTCGCCTGCCCAACTCAGCAGTCCAACCACCTGCCCGAGCTCCTCTCTCCGCACGTAGTCGCATGGTCTCCTCATCATATCCATGTAGAGGATCGGATGAACCACCGATTGGCTGCGGGGCGTTACCAGTCGGACGAGGCTGATTCAACCCACCAGGAACGGCGGCAGGTGCATACTGGCCTTGAACTCCTGCTCCACCACTAATACCTTGGGAGGTTCCAGCCGCCTGTTACATTGACATTTGCACAACAAAAATACAAGAATCACTTCAGATAGATTGAAACAAAAACTTTCAGTGGTACAGAACATAAATCATCGGAAAGCTGAAGAGGACTCAAGATCTTTATGTTTTACAGGTAAATATGCAAGTAGTCAATGTGGAGTAAATAAAATAACTGAATATAATAAGCGACTCGAAAATCAGGGCACAAAGTTAACATGACAATAGCCTGTTGATGATTAGACAACTAAACAACCATATCTAAAGTTGCAATACCTCTACGCAAAATTTGTTTGAAGACAGGATGATAAATTGGGGACGAAATGCAAATTCACCACAAACTGAAAAATGCTAGTGGAATATCCAGCTTGCTAAAGTTGACCATTCCATCACAAACCAGCTAGCATATTTCATCTAGATTTTGACAAATATCTGATATGCGCATTGCGTTCTCAGATCTAAAAAGTTGGCACTTCAAAAATTAGCATTTCACTGATACCATTTCATAAATTCTTTTGTTAGTTCTAATATTTGACAACTAGTAACTTTAGAATAAAAGTACTGGATATTCTCCATACATGAAGGCTTGCAATTCCACAAAGCTGATGGAACTGGACATATGAAGTGTATCATAGACTGCGAATATCAACTAACCGTATCACTCGGGCCAGCCTTCACAGTGACCATTCTGCTTGCTTTAAGCGCCGCGGCAAGATCTTCAGCCTGCACATCAGCCAGAAAACTCTCAATCAGGGTTCAGGGCCGACAAGCCTTATTACAGTAACATCATTTTTACTGAGTTTGTACTGAATGTATGTAAGAACAGCATACCCTTTTAGCTCGCGACAAGTATATCTGCTCAGCATTTTCCTGCTGATACCTGGCAATCCTAGCCTCGATCGCCTCGACGTCGATTCCTTCGATGAGGTTGAATGCTTCATCAAAAGAGAAAAAAAAAATCGAAGCACCGATCAAAATCCTGCCAACTGCTGCATCCAAGAACAAACAGGGATGGATGGGCAACTCACTCATATCCTCCACCTCCTCCAGGTAATCGTTGTAGTCTTTCAGCGACGGGAAGTGCTCCAGCGTCTTGTTGAATCTGCGCCCGCATCCACACCACACAGAAAAGAATCAGGCCTAGCAGCCTCGACAGCGGAAATTTTGTTCAGAGGAACCTGGGGAGAGGGAGGGAGCGCGCACATACATGCTGGCCATCCTCCGGCGGAGGGTCATCTCCTTCGCCCACGCATTCCCGCTGCCGCCCCCCACCACCACCATCTCGCCGCCGCCGCCGCCGCCGACCGGAGCGCGAGATCGGCTGCCCTGTGAGTCGCGCCGCGGTGAGTGGGCTAGGGTTCGTTACCGGAAGCAAAGCAGAAGGGGAGAGGCGGAGGCCCGTGTACGCTATATCGAGCAAAGTGAGGGCCGTTTGGCAAAAAGGGCAGGCGATCGCGGATCCGGGCCGCCCGATCTCGATCGGACGGCTGGGAGGAGCGCGTGCACGTGCCTGTAGCCTTGGATCCTCTTTGCCCCCTTGGCCACGTCACGGACTGACAGACCCCATGGCACTCCCGCTTCGACTCCTCGGCCGCATCGGCGGCGGCGGCGGCCGCCGCGGCCGCCTCCCGCCGCCGCTCGCCGCCCTCGCCCACCTCTCCGCCGCCTCGCCACACCGAGGCCCCACCCACGAGCCGCCCTCTCCTGCCCCTCTGCATCGTTTCCCAGCTCCCGCCCCCCCTTTCGCCGTGCCCGCGCGGAGCTTCTCCTGGTACTCCCGCTCCCCCGCCCCCGCCGCGGCTGAGGGGGCCCCGGCTAACGAGGGCGCGAGCGCCGGGAAGGAGTTCGTTTACTTGGACGATGCGAGTACCGTCGATTACGGTGAAGAGCTCGCCGCCGCCGCAGGTGGCGCGGCGGATGCCGCCGTCGGAGTGGCCGCAGGTGGCAATGGAGGCGGCCTGTCGGGGTTCGCTATGGACTCTTTGATCGGCGTCCTCGACGGCTTCCATAATCTCACCGGTCTGCCATGGTAGGCATTGTGCGGTGGAAGGCTCGTCAGTTTTCCGTTACTGTTGTTATTGCTGCTGCTACCATAGCCGGTGTTAATTTGAACTTAGTAGGTTTGATTAGGCATTTCTCATGCGATTACATGGCTCCTCTGTGGTACTCGCGTGTGCTGTGACTTGTCGACCTCTTCGCTCAGAATGTGCCAGATCCTTTATGTCTAAGAACAACTTTGGTTGTGAATGTAACCGCTGATTTTCATTGCAGGTGGATAACAATCTCCGCCTCCACTGTGGCCATGCGGCTAATCATACTCCCCGCCCTGATAGTACAATTTTATAAGACTGCTAAAATCGGCCAACTTTTTCGAAAATGTATGTTCCGCCAGCTTCTCACTTTACTTTCTTGTATTCAAATGTTTGGTGTGCATTCGCTTGCTGGTGCCGCAGAATACATGATTCAGACAACTGCTGTTTAAGTGTTTATCTTTTTCTAAATTATTCTTAAATCTCCGGATATATAGCATTTACCAACTGGTAAACTTAATTTGTGGGGGAATACCCCTTCCAGACCTATTCTATTCTTGAAATCGAAATGTTTATTTTAGCTGAGCCTCCCAGAGTCTATTCTATTCCTGTCTGATTGAATTCAGATTGTTTATATTTTCTGTTTCTGTTTCTGTTTATGTGTCTCTGATTTTACTCTCATATATCTCCTTTTAAAGTGCCCCCTCCATTGCCCCCTCCTCTATCAGGAAGGAGTTATCGTGACCAATACTCTCTTTTCCAGAAGAAAAGGCGAGAGCTTGGTTGCCCCTCCTTTCTTTGGAATTTTGCCTACTTTTCAGTTCAGGTAATGATACAAATCTCGTGATAAAATCTTCTATGATTCACACTGTTTGAGAATAGATAACATTGCAATTGATTTTCCAAAGAGCCCCTTGTATGTTTCTTGTTCCTGATCTCCTTTCCCCCCTATTCGTTGTTTCAAAAGCAATTAAAAGAGCATTCAACACCAACTAATTCTGCACTTTCTTGTTTTCGTCTCTTCACTCAGCTGTTTGGTCGTATATGCAGTTCCCTTGCTTTATACTGTGGATGGCAAGCATCCGGAGTATGTGCCTCAGTAATCACCCTGGATTAGATAATGTATGTTCAAGGTATCTCTGTATCCAATTTTTCCTAAGCTTCTTTAAAAGAGTATTCGTCTGTGAAGGTTTGGTTTTGTAACCATACATGTTTTTCAGTGCATATTTAATGTTGTATAGGCATTCATGAACTATGCTCACTTGAGTAGTTTTTAATCGGGAGAATGCAAAAGACTTGCGTTTCATTTCATTGGAAACAAATCACTTGGATAGTTTTGCAGCTTAAATTTCCATTACAGAGATGATGATTCATATGCAGCAGCATTCTTTAAAAAATTTCGATCATGATCCAACGGATGTAATTTATATGAGAACAAAGTCTGCCACTCACACCAACTTAACTACTAATGTCTTTAATTCACATTTAAACGAAGGAAAGTTGATGAGCTGAACTCACATAACTTATAAGTGATGCAATTTGATATTTTTTGTATCATATAGGAAATTGTAAGAAATTTTCTTAACATTGGCATTGTTTCTTGTGGCAAAAGAGAGAAATTTCTTGCATCTTTATTAATAAGATACATCGTGTAGTGGAAAATGTTCAAGGTTTCTGGTTCTTTTATCTGTGATATAAATATTCACATTTGACAAGTTAATTTTGATTTCAAGCGATATATATAATATTCTGTTGGTTTTTCTTGACAATTACACAGGGCGGTATTCTGTGGTTTAATAACTTGACCGAGTTTCCACATGGCGCTTTAGGTCCTGTTTTTCCTATCTTAGTTGCTGGGCTCCATTATTTAAATGTCCAGGTACTCTGCTGTTTTGTATCGAGTTTTTTTGTGTGTGTAAGATTTCGCTTGCCATTTCCCCCTTTTTTAGTTTTTTAGTTAGTTACCTATCATTGCCTGGCCAACACACAGTTGTAAAAGGTGAATGCCGAATATGGGTTAAGTTACACAAAATTGATATCATTGGATTAGTAATCAACAATACGTTTTATGATATCGGTTTTATGAAATATGAACAATATTATACTGGAAAATTGCAGTCAAAATTTTAAATTGGGGAGTCGAAATGTGCCCAACAATTTGAAACGGAGGGACTATGTGTTGTCTTACATCTTGTGATCATTAATTTCAATGTCTGGACACATCTGTTAGTAATTTTCTCTTGAAAAGAGGTTGGCATGTCTTGGAATATTGGACATTCAGGTTTACAAGTCCAACTGCTATACCTGGGAGCTGTAGGTTGGAACTCATCACGTGAGTGTGAATTAAGATATTGCAATTAGGGCTTTAACTAGTTTTGAGCCGATTAGAAGTTTTTTTTTTTTGGTTGGTTGCTAATGACCATCTGTCTGTTAGTGGAGGGACCATGATATCAAAGTTTGAGCTATCAGTCCATCTGTGAATTAACCTAACACTAGAGTAGCAATCTTTCTTTTGTGTTTCCTGATGAAATCACTTCTCTTGATTTAATCACAAAATATCTTCTGATGAGAGTTTATATGTGAGATCTCTTCTGATGAGAGTTGAAAGGTTATCTGTTCTTTTCATTGCTAACTGGATGATAACACTACTTTATATATGCAATGAAGCTAGGACTTGCTCCAGTTTGCAGTAAACTATCTTTGACTTTGTTTTCTTGCCTTCGTCAGATTTCCTTCCAGAAAAGCCAGGCAAAGCACTACCCTGGAGTTTTAGGTTTATTAGCAAAGGCATGTTTCTCAAACCAATGGCATATTTGATACAGTTTGCTAGGTGTCGCAAGTTACCTGTAAATTACTCGCATAATTGGCATATTGCTAACATCTTGTGTAAAGAGCATGAATGGTTGGCAGCTCACTCGCCAAAGTACATATTTTTACTAGAATTGTTTCAGTAAGTAGCACTGGATGGATTTGTGCACTTATGGGGTTTAGTTGGTCAGTACTACCAAGAGCACACTCCACATGTTTTCTGCGTGTAACTAGATTGCACAAGGTTGAATATTTGATCCTCCTCTTTCAAATGGCATATATTTTTTAACTGTTATTCACTTAAAGAAATGTTGTACTGTTATGGGCATGCTAATGTTGCTGTTGCTGAGCTGCTATGCTGACTTTCTGGTTTAATATAGTACTCCCTATGATCCATATTAATTGTCGCTGCTTTAGTATAACTTTAGTACAAAGTTGTACTAAAGCAGCGACAATTAACATGGATTGGAGGGAGTAGAAGTTATGGTCCTGCGGTAAGATGAATAAAACCTTGCGTAGGCATGGACTTTGTTTGGTGAAAGCTCCAGTGTTGGCCTTACTATCTGCAATATGACATTCATTTTTTATTTAAGAAAACTTGCTCAATAACATTTGAATGCACATGACTTTTATTCCGGAATGATCTTATGTGTATCTTCACTCTGATGTGGTGAAAATATTTCTATCTTGATTGCAGTACTACAAGATTTACCTTGATATTCTGGCTATTCCTTTGTTTCTTATCGCATATGTGGTCCCTCAGGTCAGTTCCTTCCAATTTGCTTAGACATATTAATTCTGCAAATTAGATAGTTATATCTTTCTGCTCTATTTCGAGGACAATTTCTGCCCCACATTACGATCTTTTCAGTGCACAGTACTGAAAAGTACATCCACTTATCCCTGTTTGCGCTATCCTAGCAAACTGCGTTGCATTGGATAAATTAAAGATACTGCAATTGGAGGGGGAAGCATATCATATTGAAATGTTAACTGCTCTAGTTGTTTGAAGTAATCAAAGTTCTCGGGGCAGAGCTTTAAGCTAATATTAGTAATGATGTTGTTGTACTAAGAGTTCAATAGAAGGTGATTTTTATTATCTTAAACGTAATCATGCATCATCAACCAACAGACTGGAAGAAGAATCATTATTTAGTGCAAATTTTGTTTCATTCAGGTCACATTCAGATGATAGTGATGCATTTTGTTTACTCATATTCTCTTTGATTCGCAGGGGAGCCTGGTCTACTGGACTACCAATGGTTTATTTCACGTAGCTCAGGTCAGCTGAAGTTTTTCATTCTTGCAATGGAAGCCATTTCTTTGTTAACTTTGGATATTGCTGCACCAGTTTTCTAAGAACTCCATGCTTACATATATGTATATATTTGATGTATGCAAGTAATGCATTTTAAGGCCCACCAGTTCTTTTACGTTATTTTT